TCGACGAATCCTTCCGACATGTATGTGCGAGGTGGTTCGAACAATGTCAGAAATTTAGCGTATTAGTATAGCGTATAAAGTGTGTAATTAATAAGAAAAAATAGCGTGAAAATTGTCAGCTACCATTACTAAATAAATATTATAATGTTGTTAATTAATGTTGTTAATGTTGTTGATAAATACGTTTGCGTAACAATAGCAAGTTTAGCAACGAATGAAATAATTATTAAGTCGTCCGAAAAGTTTCTTACCTTTTATAAGCAAATAATGGATGCACATTATATTATTTTATCGAATTACGTATGATCGATTTTGTTTTATCAAGATAAAGATTACAACGTTCGACAGCTTAGGTTTCATTTTTGTATAAACATGTGTCGTTGTAAAAGACATGTGTCTATAAAAGAAAGACACTTTTCGGACAACCTAATACAAGGTAGAACTTTGGTAGCAACTTACATATTACATATCTATATACTTTGTATATTTTCTCACATTATATCGTATTCTGTGAATTTTTGCAGATTCTCAAATCCAAAAGACGCAGTGAAGCCGATGATCCGATGAAAATCAAGGAAATTTTCTAAATCACCAGTTATCGTCATTGACCGCTCTATTCGCGTACACATTGCGCAAACTTGCCAATTTACCGACTCTGTGGCTCGCTAAATTACCACGTAAGAGTACCACGATCGGTCAGATTGGAAAGTAAGCTCGTTGAAAGAAGAAAGTGTTGCTGCTGTAAAAGGAATTCGCGAGCGTAAGAAGGATGGAAAGGGGATCGTTCGCGATACGTAGTCGTACGCATAATAGGGGCCGGTATCTTGTCCTGTCCTCGCACTCATAACATCTATTTCCAGAACAGACCAACGACTAAGTTTAGATTCGCTGTTCCATATACTCGAGCCATTCGCCCACTCGGGTCCACTCGTTCCCAAGAAAATCTGATAAACGAACAAATAAGTGATACGTGGCTACTCCGGTTCTTGTCGCGTCTCCCCTTTCTAAAACTGCTTCTCTTTTTACCATCGTTATCGTCAAAATATACGTACTCACGTATAACGAGTAACGTTCTAGTACCTACGTACCTATACCATTTCATCCATTTCCATCATTCACCAGTGCAACGATAACAAACGCATCGTGGTGGCACTGTAAAAACATCGAGGGGAAATAAACGTGGTTCTGCGCGCGAATCGCTCGCGATATTGTATTTAGGTCGGTCGAGAGACCGTAGTCTGTATTTGCTCGAGATAAATACCACTATTGCTACGTATGGAAAAGGAGATCTTGTAACGAAGTAATTCATTTAGAATCCATTCATCGGTAATTCTTGGTCGTCGCGTTATCGTCGTTGGAGTTCGCAAAGGGTCAAAGAAACACGACGACGTACTATCCGACAGAAACAACGCTTCCGAGAGCACAGAGTGGAAATTGAGTAATCTAACGAAAGAGTCGCGGATTACCTTTGTTTTTCTTCTTTTTCTCTTGTTCGTATTCCGGGCTAAAAGTAAAGCATACTAAAAATATTTCGAGCATAACGCGCGAGAAATTTTAGCGGCATGGTTCGTTCGTTCGTTACCGAACGAATGACGTTAAGCGTCTCTTTCTTGGTTATATGTAAAACTTGGAATGCCGTGTGACGCGTCCACAGAGAACGGAAGCGTCACGGGTGTTCTATCTTGCGTAATGTTAAAAACCACGAAACGCACAACTCGGTTCGAGTGGCGAAAATAACGTAACGTATTCCACAATTGGGAATTTAAGGCAGCTGGTTGTGCATGATTTGCCGGGTATTTTTAGCCAGGCAACGCAAAGGGCAGGTCCGAAGATGTAACGGCGCTCCAGACTTGCGAGAAAGGTACGTCACAGGCGCAAAAACGTACGTCGTCAGGCGCGCGTTCTCCGCGCGATACGTGGCTGCGTCGATTCATCGGAATTAGCAGAAGTACGCGATGCAGTTTCGAAAGCCGAGTACTATTAGCGTAGAATAAACCACGCGAGGCTTCTTGCTCATCCTGTTGAAACATTCTCTGGCATTTTTCTTCTTCCACTCTGGTGTTTTCGTTTCCGCGAAAACGCAAAATTTACGCAGCGCCGCCGATTTGCTTATTTTCCCGCAAAGAACCGCTCTCATACTTGCTCGTAAATCACCCAGAAACATCCGATTCCACCGTATCGACGACCTCTCGTCTATCATTCCGGGTCGAATTTTCACGGTCGCTTTCGCTGTAACCTGCAACGAAACTTGAAACGATTCTCTCGATGTTAACTCTAGCGCGATACGCCGATTCCTATATTTCCATGTTATTCCCATTTTAGGAAATAAACAGCACTCGTCGAATACTATGGAACTCTCCTCGAAATCGTAAAAAGGAATTCCATGAATTGTCGTCTTCCGCCAAAATCCTACGAGTTTTTTGAGGTTTACGGCTACTTATAGCGCTCTGGTAAATTATCTTTTTCTCTTTTCCAAAGCACAGACGTTATTCTTCTATCGTAATTTGTTTAACTAATTTTTCTAACGTGTCTATTTTATTAGAGATCGTTTCGTTTATGCGACTCTGGTATATCGTTCGATTCTCGATCGATTCATTTCCAAAGAATGGATCTTCGTCTCTTTCCGACAAAACAATTTGCATAGAAAACACGAAGTAATTTCGAGAAGAATAAAAAGCACGAGTCCTTCTCTCAACGATAAATCCAACGATTTCTATGACAAAGGCATAACGCAAACAGATGCTCGTCGTAAATCAACTCTACTTGATTTCGCTTTGGCGCATAGACGTTGTGCAGCAAGCTGATATAAAACTCCTGTAATTCAACTCTCGTGACATAATGTATCGCAGAGTATTTACGAGTACACGCATTTAACAGACATTTTATTTGTTTAATTTGCATAGTACGCACGGTCGTAATCGATTTACGGCTGCGAACGAAGGAAAACGTTGGCTAATCGTAACGGTTGGGCTGTCATAATCTCGAGGTAGATCGACCAGTTCTCGAACAAGTTGGTGGATATCCGCGACGTGAAACGATGGAAGCGCGAGTGTTCAGGTCGTTAGGTATAGATTCTAATACGCAAAGATAGATTGGGCGGTGAGGGGTGATCGTGTATATTTAGAAAAGTGCTTGGCTTGCCAGAACCGAGAGAGACTCGTATCTCGACACCGCGTGCGAGATTTCTCCTTCGAGCTCTTCCTCTTTATCTCTCTTGCGATATCTTGTTTGTTAACCACACGCGAGAACGTATTGTAACGTTTCTCCGTGCGAATAAAAAATCTTTCGTTTCCATTACGCGTGTTCTCATTTTCACTATCTCGCCAGCTCTTCGTCGATCCTCTGTCGACCATCGGGTCGTTTCACTCTGCCAGTGGCAAAGTCTCGTTTCCAGGGAAACGTCGTTCCCTTCGAGGATCCACGAGTTTCCTCGCGTACCTCTCAATGGAAACTTTTCTCTATGTTAACGTTAATTAGCTTTCCATCGAGAATGGTTAAGACGTAAGAGAAAAAAGTATATGGCGAGCGTTAGCAGAAGTGGCTGGCGAGGTAGCTCGGCGAGAAGAGAGCGCGTGGAAATATAAACTGTATTAGTCAGACGAGAATCGGAGGAAATTCGAGCAGATATCGTGTATCGATCGCTGTGTACTCGATCGAAATTTTGAAAGCTGGCCAAAAATGTCTCATAGAAGTTGGAATACACTGCAGAGTAAAGCGCGCTCGCGGATTTACCGGCTTGTGAATCAAACGCTGTTATCCGTGAAATTATATCGACGATGAGGACGTTCGCGAAATAAAAAATAAAAGAAAATGTCGATTAGTGGTCGAAAGTACGGATGCGGCCGGAAAACTTATTTTCGTCGAGGACTGTGGCCAAGACCCACTTCTCCTTCTTCGTACGATGTTCTATTTCCTACCAACGCTGATATCTTTCCACCTTTGTCCGGGAATACGATTTTATGGTCAAAGTTTTTCAGCATCGATCAGCGGTATCGGGCATCGCGCCTTCGATATCTATCGACTTTGAATCGTTGAAACGTAGATGCTTAATTTGGTGCTGTCTATAAACGAACGTACTGTTAAATATGCTCTTCTTGATTCATCGGTCCCGATGAGATACATTCTTTGATTATATTTAAGGGTAAGAATAATCGTTAAACCGCTACACGTAGTCTAATTTCGACTCGAGGACGTCGACGTAAAATTCTTGCACGCTGATTTCTCCGACGTTCCGTCATCCGGCTAATTTGGTTGCAGCAGCAATTAACCTGCTATAAGGTCATTTATCTTCTTTTTTTATCCCACTCGTATCCTCCGTATACGCGTACCGCGTTTTTCCGCGGTGAAACAAAGAAACCTGAGAAGGAAGAGTCGAGCCTCGTTCGGACCATTTCCCTTTCCAACCGAAGCTGCTTTAAACCGTTGAACCGCCAATCTTTCGAGCTTCCAGTATTCGTAAAATCGCGTTCGTTCGTAGATTCGTGGATTAGTTCGCATTCGAACAACCCTCGTCGACCGATTCGAAACTTAACGTTGGTTCGTTCGAGCGATCGCAAGAAGAGCAAACGGTCGTAAAACGCGAAGGTAAAACGAAGAGCGCGTCCGCTGTTATTTTCGCACGGTAGTGTCAACTTCATTGGTTGCGAATACCTCGATCCCCCACTAATTACAAGGTTTCAAGTTCAATAGCAGGGTAAGTGCCAAGAAAAAAGGGTGGATGGTGAAAAGCATGGATATGGTAGAGGGACGGCTGGATGTTGGTAGAGGTAACTGGGCGGAGGTTGGCGAAAGGGGTGTGTACCTTGTGGGTGATGTGGATCCTGCGTGTCAGGTAGTCGGCGATCGCGCAGGACTCGGCTGGCCTCAGTGTCAGGAGCGAGCCTCGAAATTCGACGGCGTAGGCGTTCTTAGGGTGGGGAGATCGGGCAGGAGCGGTTATCGTGGAAGTTGCGCCGACGCAGAGACGCTGGACCCGACGTCGAGGTGTCACGGCGATATTTCGTGTGGTTAGTTGGCGCGCGGGGCCCCGGTGACTGGGACGGCCAAGACAGACGCTCCGTATCAAAGAAGAGACAAGAGACAGGGCCAAACGAACAGGATACGTTATAAACGGAGCGACGACCACACAGTGACGACGACCACGACAAAGACGATCGAATATCAAAGAAATTTCTCTCTTTTTTTCCCCACTCGTTTCTTTCTCTTTCTCTCTCTCTCTCTTTTTTCTACGTTCGTACGCGTAATTTCACTTCGACTTTCGAGAATCAAAGTGCGCGATCGACGAGCCGCGAGCTCGACCCACTCGAGCCACAGATCCACGTTAAATCCCCCCAAGGTGCCTGCAATCGAGGATTTCTAACGCCGGCACGGCCATCGACGGACCGTATTTACTCGTCTAACTATTTGGATATTTCACCGCTCGCTTCAAGTAAGTTTTCCCGTTTCACAGACTGGATCCTTGATCGTGAGAGGGTATACGAGCGAGCATACGAATGTGCGAAAATGGACGAAGTACACAGTGCGCCCTTTCCTCCTTCGCCATCGCGTTAAACATCCCCCCTTTTCGTTCTTCATTTATCGTCTTTCCTAATTTCCTTCCAACGTATAGCCTGTTCCACCTTCGTCTATGGTGAATCGTGGGTGCTTTTGGTGCTTCAGTGCTTCAAAGTGTTACGTTTCGTTGGCGACCGCACCACCAAGTGCTGTACTCGTTCGTATTCCCTTGGAGATCGTTGGATCAGGACGCCGGTGCGTAAGCTATTCTTTCAGCTGGACGTTTCTTCGATTCTTGTGCGCGTTACGTGCAATCTTGCTCGATTGTTGCAACCGTAACCGAGATTCGAAGATTTCCGTGGAAATCCGAGAAACGTAATGCGCGAGTGGTATCGATTATACGACGATCTTAAACGGCGATAGATTCGAACGGCGAAAAATTCCGCTCGCGAGAGATACAATCTTGCAATCGATGACGATCGGTACGACGACCTTGACACGCGTGTCGCTCCGAGAAGAAGAGAACGAGGCGCCGTGGGCCCAGAAACGGACCGTTGCGAATAACGATGCATCGAAAGAGATTTCGATGGTTCGTGGTCGAAACGGTGGTCTAGCGGCTTGGTGACTAATTGCCACGAGTCTGTTCGCGTCCGACCACCGAAAACTATTCGTAGACTACTATCTAGGTATCTAGGCTCGAAGTCTACTTATTTTTAGAAGGGCGTAACGCGAGCAGGAACGGTTCGTCGTCTCGTTCGACGTTCCAACCATCTATCCAACTATATTTTTCTCACTTTGTCGGCTTTTCTCTCGCACCTTCTCCAAATTCGATTAATCGTCGTTCGCAATCTATCCGCCACTTTGGCTTTCTCTCGTCTCTTTCCTTCCTCTTTCAAAATCTTCTCTTTTTTTATCTCGGTGAAACAACGTTAGTACCATCGACGATAATAGCGAAAACCAATAGACGAATGATAAAAAGAAACAAGTAGAATATTTGCACACACGCGAATATAAACATACAAGTAATATAATATGTATGTATGTATATGCGCGAATATAAACACACAAAGTACGCGATCGATGAGAAAATCTGGTAAAGTAACCGAAGAATGTGAAGAAGAGATCGGTTTAAAAGTATGTTGGAAATACGAATGGGGACGTTTGTCGATTTGTCAAAAATTCATGGTCGATCGCGTATGCTCGACGCGCTTCATAATTCCACGATATTTATAAACTTCATGGTCAGCCAACCTGAAAATTACACCTGTTGATGGTCAGGCCTGGTTGAAATTAGCACGGATGACTAATTCATTGTTTTGGTCTTCGCTGGTCATAGTCGAATATCGATATATCGTTTACTCTTTCGGTCTCGTCGTATCTTTCACGGACAACTTAAAAATTATACCGTAGCGCCTTCCGACATGCTCGTTCCATAAGATTAGCGCTATAAATACTCTCTGTATCCTCCTAAATCTTCGCGCCTCGTGTTTCTACGTACGCGAGAGCGAGAAAAGAATTTCGCGACCAGCAGCAATTTCCACGATGTACGATTTCTCTTGCTATAGATTTGACTCAGTCCACGGAAATAGACGTTGCGACAAGAGCGATGCAGGGAAAATAGTAGCGTAGACGGAAGAAGAGAGCGACGAAACGCATGCCTCGACCAATAATTTTAACTTCTAGGTCGAATTTAGTGCACTTGCCGAGCTTACCGTGGTATTAGCCCCACGATGATCTAATACTCTTTCCGTGCTTGTAATTCGAAACGTGAATCATTTCCTCGTGATGAATTTTCCTACTCCCTCGCTTTCCGATCCTCTTCATTTTAGATATCGATCGGAATCTAATAATATTTTAAACATAGTTTCGCGGCTACTTTCAAAAGCGAACTGAAACTACGATAGAGTTTTTTTTTAAGGATATACCGTGTCAGATATTTCTTCGAATATAAATTTAACGCTTTTTTCCCACTTGTACGACACCTTGCCTCGGGTATTTGGAAACGCAAACGAAAATTACGCGAAAGAAGTATTTTTTTCTCTGGAATAACGCGGCGAATGGAGATATTTTTCTGTGGCGCGTAGCACCGTTAACACCGCAGACATTAGAAAGAAAAATTACATCGGCTAATTTTTCCTCTCGGCTAACGCCGCGACATCGTTCGATATTTCTGTCTCGCCATTGCTAAACGATGTTTCATTCATTCCATGCTTTTTATAACCGGCTCTACATTGTGCCACTTGTTATTAGGCCAGTCTGTCATCGAATATATTACATCGCGAGGAGACAATAAAATTATGCCAAGTCTCAGCGAACGAAACTATTGAGACATCGCGTTACTCGCTAAACACCTGTTCGTCCATCGATCGTCGCGCTCCTCCGCAACCAAAATCTCGCAGCTTGTCTCGTAAAAGAGTTTGCCCAACATCTTTACGCGTCGATCGAACGCGATTGTCTCGAAAATAACGTCGAATACCGATCAAGGTTCGTTCGTTCTCTTCCATTCATAAAAATCCGTGTACCTATTTTTGAAACGGCCAACCACGACCTTCGATCTAAGCGACTGCCAAACGTCCTGTCGAATCGACGCGCGATCGTTAACTTGGTCGATCGATTATCACGAACCGTTCGGTCGAAAGATACGGACAGTTTTCTATGCACAGACTCGTGGAATATTCGAAACGAGCAGTTTCGTCCGAGTTGCTGAGAAAACCTTAGAAATCGCTGTACGCGCGACGTCCGTGTTCGAACGTCCCTTTCGATCTTCGGTCATTCCCTTCTTCACTTGGCACGCGTAGAACTCTCCTGTCAAAAGTGTATCTCGAACAAAGAGCAAGGAACTTGCCGTTTGGAAAGGTCGGGCTCGGATCTCAATTTCGTAGAACGAAAATCGGGGCCGTTAACCCAGATCGTCTTTCTTTATTAATCGAACGCTGGGCAAATCTTTTTCAACCGCTTGCTTTTTTTTAATTTTTCCTCCCTGTTTTTATCTCTCCTTTCCTTTTCCCTTCTTTCTCGAGTACCGCGTGCAAACGGAACGTTACAGGTAGAGATACCTGCTCGTATCTTCCACTCTTTCGATTCAATTTGATTTTAATCCAAGATGATCTTGAAGAAACTAACGTGCCAAGTTACGTTTCATCGAATTAAGCGGCCAAACGGTAGTACGGTGTTAGCGAAGATGAAAACGAAGCGGAGGAAAGGAGCAGAATGAGAACGAGCGTTACGAAGCCGAGCAATCTCAGGAATGTCTCGAGGCTCGTTGCCAAGTCTTACCGTGACGTTGTAACATTCGGTGCATTCGTTCCGATTTGCATTTCTTTCCTCGGATTTTTACGCTACTTGTCGCGTCCCATCTCTTCTATTTACAACGGTGTTAAGAAACAAAGTATTGACGCGTATCTTTGTCCTGGAAACGAAGCCTTCTCCGCGTACCAAACCTCACGAGGTTTCGTCTATTCGCACCTAATTAACGAGAAGCTACGATAAATACAACGACGTGCCAATACTTGTCGCAGCCACCGTAAACGCGCTTCGTATCGTGACGAAATTACTTTGTACTTTGGAGTTATATTCGCTACATCGGAACGTTACATCCGCGTCGATTAAATACGAAGTAAATTCTTTTTTCGCTATCGTCGTCGTGGAGGAAATTTTCTATGGCACGAGATGGAGATTTTTCGGAAGGCGTTCAGATAAGATTTTTTGATTCGCCAGACGCGTCGTAAATCAAACGCGTGCATTTTCGCTATTAGATGCCAAACATAATAACCGATTACCGAGATAACTGGTTCGCCTATTTTCGAGCCAAGAGTCGCATTAATAATAGAGGTGTTGCGTCATTGTTCGGCCTTGGACGTGTTGGAAAATCCTGAAAACCCGCGTTTGGAGTCGCGGATTCCACGAAAATACCGATTGCTTCGAACGTTGTTTCCCATTGGTGTCTGGTTTTATCGTTCGCCGGAATTCCACCGCCGGCACTTATGCTACGCTTTGAATATTTCCGAAAGCCTGAAAATCTGCAAAGTAGGGCACGAAAATGTCCGAGAATGTACAAGTTGAAAGAAACGCGTAAATTTCAAACGGAAGTCACAAACGACGGACGATATCGGCGGTGGTGCGACATTTTTCGAATTACATAAAATCTATTTTGAATTCCTCAGTAGCGATATATCTTTTCTTGAATTTGGATGTAACGCGCGAAATATAATAATTTGGCTCGCATTACCCGTGACTGTGAGATCAAAAGCTGTTCTTGTATCTCGAGCCGTCCAAGTTAATCTATCGCTCGACTTAATGGTCGCTAATCTTTGCTCTACGAAACGTCTATTTAGCAACGACTATCGACCCTTTCAACACCGAATTTCCTTATTTCGTTAAGCAACAGTTTTTCCAATCAAAGCGTCTTTCCACGATGCCCGATACGAAAATCATTTATCGCTAAATTCTGATCGAGACGATCTTTCGGATCGACAGATTTGACGAGGATCGTCATCAGCGAGGGAAGGAGGCTAACGGTTGGATGGTGCCGCGGGTCGGCGCCGTTTAAACCGACTCGAAGCGGATAGACGAGATTTGTCGACAAGCAACGAAAAGAAGCAAAGAACCGAGCGAGTCCTCGATTTCTAAGGCGAGAGGGTGGCGCGCCACCCGAGAAATTCGCGGTAAAGGGAGGAGGGGCGAAGGCGACCCAACACCAT